GAGCAGCACGACTCCCTGGCCTTCACGCACTGACACTGTACTTCTCATTTTGGTCTTAAAATTTTCAAGATCTGATTTGAAAACAGAACAAAACTGAATTTCAGAAAAAATAATTAAGTTAAGATTTTTACACGAAGACACTCGTATCATTTGCAGAGGTTTTTTTGTTTGTTTTTTTTTTTGATAGCTGGCCAGTACCAGGATTTGAACTTGTGAACGCTGTGTTACAGGGCTGCACTCTAACCAACTGAGCTAACTATCCAGCCAAGATACCTGTATCTTTTGGAAAGCAGTTTTATAATCTGTTCTTAGGAAACACAAGAGGTGAGCATATGTGAGGAGGAAAAGCAGGATTTTGATATTTTTAATTAAAGCTTCTAGAAATTCAGCAATATAATATAAATATATATCCATCAATCCCATGTTGCTGTACAATGTCAAAAATAGCATGGAGTATCCAAAAAAAGGCAAAGCATACATTAGAATGAACTACGCAAAGCATACGCTAGAATATGATTCAAAAGAAAAATAAAATATCCTGAACCAAAAATATACATAAATATGATTTCCACATCTGCCACGGTGATTCACTGTATCATGAAGACATTTAGCTTCACCTTATAATAATGATCAGCTATGCATGAATTTCTCTCCTAAAATATTTGATCATAAATAGCCCAAATAAACTTTATTCTACCTATAATTATTATTGTTATTTTAAAAAATATTTAAAAATATAAAGTTTCTGGGTACACGACCTATTTGTCCCATCTTCTGATGAACTCTGTGGAAGATATAAATTACTAGAAATTGCTAAGTAAGTAGAATGCAAAAGATACAAGTAAATAAAATCCACATATTCCCTTTTATTTACAGCTATAAAAAAATATAAATTATTTTTATAATCACCCAAAGAATTTTTAAAAAGTATTTAATAAAGTTTTCAAGGATTTAGTAATAGCCATCAAGGGCAAATACTATTTTGATTACCTGTGGTTATTTTATAAAACATTGCAATTTCTTCCAGTAACAATCCAGGACAGCAAATACTGATTCATACTTTCCAGGTTAAATTACAGGAGAGAGAAAATTCTATTGACTTCATTTGTAGAAAAGCTTAAGTCCATGGGGGAAATGAAAAAAGAACTAATGTTTCTCTAAACTCTTATTTCAAAAAAAAAAATGTGCATGAATGACACAGTTAAGATTCTCTATGATGTTACTTTCTGTATCAGAACAACTGCACTATCAATTTGTGAAAGAATACACTCACTTCATAGCTCTAACGGATTGATATAAATTGCCTAATGGTGACTATTCAAAGTGAGGCAGTGTATGCACTTTAGAATATAACTCGGAAAATATCATCTCTTCTTTGAAAAATGTAAAAAGCAAAATAATTATCTTCAAATCAATAAAACCACAACCTGTAGACACTTATAAATATTCTAAGCACCATAAATCAGTACATCAGAGGGAAAACAGGCCTATGTGCTTCATTTTATTGCCACTGAAAAACAGTACTAAACTGCTAGGTTATAAGCATGGAATAAAATGATAAAACAAAACTCACATATTTTCTCCAGAAAATAAGAAAAAATAGTGTATATGAACAATTTTAACCAGTGGTTACCCTACAGAAGTGATACGATAACACAGCATTGTATTATCTTAAATTCATAACTAAAATACAACATTCTCAAAACATTAAGACTCTTGAAGTGTAACTGAGTTGGAACTGCAAAACTGGACCATCCAAATGTTTGCCAATGGCCAACTGAGGAAGCTGCTCATATCAGAATGTAGCCTATACATGGAAAAATAATCTCCAAAGATAAATTTTTCTTGACAACCAAGCATATATCATAATTGCTGCTTTCTGCCCAATTCCTTGTTTTATTCTGTTGCATAATTTCATACCATACAAGTTTTCCATCATTGATTTTAGCTAGAATGCCCCAGAAAGGATAAAATAGTTCTACAGAAACCAATAACATCTCCCCCAAAGGTAAAATCTCTTTTGTCTAAGCATAAATATTGCCTGGCACAGTCCTGCTTGTTGATCCGGACACCTGCAATGATGCTCTCTCTACAGTTAGGAGGACGAGGAGCATTGTTTTGGATACCTGATGTGTCCAGTTCATGGAACATAAGCACCAGGGACACCAAAGAAACATAAACGTAGTGGCTCCAACGTGCTTTCCAGGGCTTTGTTGGCAGCAAAGCATTGTGATTATGATGGGTTTGTTTCTCTAAAGCAGTATCTCCTGAATTCTTAACTTCTGTTACCCAAAGTGAGGTCCAAAGACAACCTGCATCACTGCCACCTGGGATTCTTATTTTAAAATGCAGATATCTGATAATCATTTAGAACTAGTGAACTGGGAACTCTGAGGGTTAAATCCACAGATCTGAATTTTTTAATAAGCTCACTAGCTGTACCATAAGTACACCAAATGTCATTTTGTTTATACACCCGTTAAGGTGTATAAAGTTCAATCCAGATTAAATATCTTGGAATATACCTCAAATACTTGGAACATATGAAAGTGCCTATGAGACACAGAATCTGTTAACATCCATTGAGCACCAAGGATGGAAAAGGGAGCAGTCACTTATTAAACAAGAATTTATTAAGAGCCTGAAAACTTCAGCCTGCTGTATACTAGGTTTGAAGGTATGAAATATCAAGGTCTTCCTTTCAAGAAGAGCCCTGTCTGGTTAGGAGACAGACTTGAGACCAAGAGCTGCATTTTAAATGGCACTTGCCAAAATGGTGGTAAGTACACAGAGAAATGAACACTTAACTTACAGGTGGGAAGGATGCTTCTGAGAGCAGAAGCTGGCCAGGCAGATAGAGGGTAGTATGTGTCAAGGAGTGGGAGGTGGGCCTTCTTTTCAGACAGAGAGAGCAACACAAGAAAATCACAGATGCATAAAAACATACATTTCATGGTCAAGGAATAGTGAGATAGTTCCCTTTTGTTGGAACACTAGGTACTATGAGAGAAAAGTAGCATAAATATCTAAAATGTTTCAGATCACTACAATACCTGCTGACAGGTTGCATGTGTAACCCAAATGAAAGTCAAACTGTTTGTGGTCCAATTTTGGCAACAATTGTATTAGAAAAAGCTCTATTCAGGAATCAAATAAAAAATAAATCCAGTATATTGGGTAGAAACTTCTCAGCTTTTTCTCTTTGCCTCCTCTCCAATTCTCACAAACTCTAGCATTATTCTGGAGCTTCTAATTAGCCAGACTTTAACAACAAACCAAAAGGATAAAGAGCATCTACAGAAATAATAGCTAACATTGTATTTAATGCTAAATGACTTAAAGCTTTCCTCCTAACATCAGGAATATGACAAGGATGTCCACTCTCACCAATTTTAGTGAACACAGTATTAGAAGTTCTAACCACTGCAATAAGAAAAGGAAAAAAAATAAAGCATACAATTTGCAAAGAAAGAAATAAAACTACCCCATTTGAAATAATATGATTGTCTGAAAAAGAATATTAGAAGGAATCTGCAAAATAACTCCTAGTACTAATAAGTGAGTTAAGTAGGTCACAGGATATGATTACTACCCACTAACAATACACATGCAAAAATTAAAATTAAAAACTCAAAACCACTTACAATTGTACCAAAGAAAATGGAATACTTAAGTATACACATTTAAAAAAAAAGCATGCAAAACATCCTTATACTGAAAAATTACGAGATGCTGATGAAAACAAAACAAAACAAAACACAGAGGCCTGAGTTCTGGTCAAGATGGCGGAACAGACAGTCCTCAGTGTCACTCTCTCCCACAAATCAACCAATTTAAAACTATGAAAAAGCAACAACAGCCAAGCTCGGGCCTCTAGAGCTCAGGGGGAGAGGAGGAGAGACCTACAGAGTGCATATAGGCAGGAGAAGACATGATGAGAGACAAAAAACCACTCTGATCATTTTGTGCCACGGCTGCTTTAAGGCTGGAGCTGCTGAGCACATGGAGCAGGAGCCCACAAAAGCCGTAGTTGTGCCCTTTGGATGAAGTTGCTTGGAGGCGGCAGGGGAGAAGAGGGCCTTGGTGGTCCCCAGGCCAGCAACACCACTAACAAGGTTCCTGTGGACTCACATAGGAGCGAGGAGCCACAACAACTGTAAAAAAGGAGCAAGTCAGACACTGGTGAGTCAATGCAAGGGACCAGTACATGGCCC